TAAAAGACAAATACCAAATGATCACCTATAAGTGAAACCTAATCAACAAAACAAACAAGTAAGCAAAATATAACCAAAGACATTGAAATAAAGAACAAACTGACAGTAACCAGAGGGGAGGAGGGCAGGGATAACAGGGAAAAAAAGGAAGGGTTGTCAAGGAACATGTATGAAGTACACATGGACAAGGCCAAAGTGGGATAGGAATGAGGACATGGGGATGGGTGGGGTGGGGGGAAGTGGTGGGGGAAAATGGAGACAACTGTACTTGAACAACAAGAAAGAGAGAGAGAGAGAACACCAAGACCAGCAAAACAAAACAAAACAAAAAAAAGAGGAAAGAATAAATGGTTTCTACTTCTCCTTCCCAACCAGAGGGTAAATAGCTTAAATCACTCTACTCAGGGAGATAACAGAAATCCAACTACTGCCATTTGCCAATCACATTCAAGGACAGATGAAGTTAAGGGAATAAATCTCATTTTGGCACATCAGCATAAAACTGATAAACATTGTATTGAGATTCTCCCCTATGACCTCCCTTAAAAGTCTCAGCCTTTAAAACAACTCAAAACAAAGGTCCCGGTGTGCACTCTTTCTTCTAGGAGCACACCCATTCCTTTGTCCCCCACCCCTCTTCTTCTCTCACAGGCAGGCATCTCCTAAATTTTAAGGGACCCCATGAGACTTGCAGCCAGGAAGCCATGGGCAGAGGCAGTTCATCTCAGGCTAACCCCCTGAACCTGTCCCCTAGGCCCCCTTCTGTCTGACTTCCGAGTGAGCTAAAGCAGCACTGACTAGGTTCATTTCTTTTCTATAGCATTTCTAGAGAGCCAAGGCAGCCCTGACTAGGCTCTCCCCTTGCTTCCTTGTTTCACTGTCCCCAGCTTTAAAAAACATACTTTTAAAATCACCTGGACTCACGTTGTGAAATGTTTCCTAAACAAAGTCAAGAGCAGTGGCTGGCCCTAGGCAGAACTGCTCAGGGCCAGGTCCCCTTCCTGGTAACAATAGCAGACACTTTATACATGTGTGTTAAATAAATATGTGAATACATGGACATTAATTGACCATGTAAATAACCATTCAGTTTACTCAAAGTTGTTAAAAGATGCTCATTGTCTTGGAAGAAAACTCTCCAATATTATTGCTGACAGCAGTTGGCACTAATTCCTGTGGCATTTACAATGCAATTTACAACTCTTTGCTAACCCGAGAAATCTCCCAGTCAAGGATTCTAGCCCCACCCCTAATGTTTAAATACAAAAAAAATTTAACTCTACACTATTTACTGTTTACTTTGGTAAAAGATAAAATGTTTTCTTAGGTAAACTCTATTTACTACATCTGCTCCATCTATGCCAAGCTAGGTGCTATAAAAGTGATTCGAATGACTGCCATTATTAGTAATGGTCTATGGATGAGAAAAGGGCCCCATAGCACACCTAACAAGCTCAAGAGGGGCCTGCATGGCAGGCCTTACAAACTGAGAGACCAAAAGTAACCACATAATGTTGCTGGAGCAAAAGAAATTAGACATTAAGCTCAACAAACTGAGAGAATGAGCCTGTTTGCTTCACCAGGAAGATACAGTTTACACCTCAGGGGATCATAGCATTTCTCCATCAAGGACATTAACTAGCCTCCCTTCCCCACTCTGGTACGGAATTGTTGCGGGGTGCAGGGGGTGGTGCCTGACTTACGAGGCCAGTCAGTCTAACTAGGGGGTATAAACCTATCAAAAGCATGTGAAAACTTGGGAAGTTTATTGCTTCTTTTGAAAAAGCACCTGTTCTGACCCAAGACCAAGCTAATATAAACCCAGGAGCACAAAGAAATGCTCTCCCTGCTGTGCCCCCCCACCCCACCCCAACCCAGTAACACACTCATTCCATGCATTCATGCATTCTTTCTCTCCTGGAGCAAGTGAACATGTGGGTCTATCTGCTACTGGGTCCTGTGGCAGACTGTGCAGCCTCAAAAGACTAAGCTTAATATGAAGCTGAAACTCTAGACATTGGCTTTTGTTTTGGCCTTGCTAAGGACACAGCTGGACTTTTTCCATGGTGGGACAAACAGAGATGGAACACTGGAAACCCAATGGGCAGCTTTGTTTCCACCTGAATAAACCATGCCACAACACAATCTCCTGTGCATGGGTCCTCTGAATATTTTCCTCACAATCTTGTGGAAAAGCCTCCTTTCCACTAAAAAACAATAGGATGGGTTGTCTATTAAAATTGCTGACTAAAAGTGGGTCCAGGTAGATAGTTAAGCCTTAGGCTGGCCTGTACATTCCTTGACAAAGGTCAGTCTTCACCTTAAGTGAGCCTATGGTCTTTTTGCATCTAAGAACATGCCTTTGAAATGTCAGAGGAATCTCCTTTTCCAGGAGATTCCATGCATTGTGTCCAATACAGACGCAATTCTGCTTAGTTTAGGGTGAACATCATAGGAAGGTCTGAGGGGTTCCTGTGGGGAAGAGACAGCCAGGCCTTGTGCTCTGTGTCTTTTGGGTGAAGATGGTGTCCATGGACCTGGTAGACCTTCATAAAGTAACCAGAGGCTCTGACCAACTCTCTTCTCCTCCCTCAAGGGTCTGTCCCTTTCAAGGGCTAGTCAGGGTGACTTCCAAGCAAACCAGTCACAGTACAGAGTGCTGAGTGTTTGTGGCTGACACCATAAGAAGGAAACAGGAGGTCTGGGTGACTGGGAGGTGATACATTGCTTGTGAAAACAGCTGCTGATGAAAAACATGTGAGAAGCCAGGAGGGGCAAGGGCAGATGTACATGCAGTACAGGCCTAGGATGTACATAGGACACCTGAAGCTGGGGTGAAACACAGCCAGCTTGTGGGGAAGCTGACTAAAGAGCCAGTTTGGGAAAGAGAAAACAGTTATCTTGGAAGAGTTCAAGTCCTGTAGTAGTAATAGGAGACTCGGAAGAGGAACTTCCCAGTGGGCAGATGGAGATGAGGAAAGGCTTGCGCCTTCCCATTGGGGCCCCACAGAGCCTGGGTCCGAGTGAGTGCCACAAGCTATGTGGACCCTGAGGAATGGAATCTTCAGCTGCCTTAACAGGATGTGTAGGCCACACCACACACAGAAGCTCCTGTTCTCCCAAAGAGGGCCCATGTGGCTCACCTGGGGCTGACAAATACTCAGAATCACAATCAGTGAGAGCAAGAGGTTGGAAAGCAGTCACACCTCAGCGGTGGATGGTTGACAACCACCTGAGTAATGTAACTCCTAGAAAGGGCAAAATCGAGTTAGCTCCTCACCCTGGCCCACCCCTTGAAGTGTCTGTGGGGCAGTGATGCCAATTCCACAGTCTGGTCTCATCATGAACCAACTGCTGAGGGGGAGAAGCTCTAGGGAGAGGCCAGGCAGCTGTGTAGTCACTGACCATGCATTTTGTCACATGCCATGTGGCCCACAGTCCTGAGAGTTAGGTCTTCTGGCTTCCTGGTCCCTGGCTTAGTGAATTTGACCCTACTGCCATATTCTTTCGCAACCTCATATCTTCTAAAGGCAAAGGGGAGCTAGCATGAGTATATTTTTAATCTGAGTGAAGGATTGGTTATTTGTTTGCAACATCCCTGACAATGACTTATTTACTAAGTATAGTACTAACTGATAGGTGCTCTTTAGGCACTTCAACCATATGCTCTCATTTACTATTGTTGGTTCCATTTCACAGATGGAGAACTGAAGCTAGAGTGGTTGTCCACAGTTGGGTCAAGGCTAGCTGAGACTGCTATGAAGCCACTATTCTTCACTATTTTTCTTTGCATTTTCCCTGTCCCTTGAAGGTCTCCTCTGCACATAAGATGATCAGCAGGTTGCAGCCAAGAGCCTGCCTGGGCTTTGGAGTCAGGCTGACCTGGAATCACACCTTAGCCCTGCTTCTGATTAGCTCTGTACTCTTGGGCAAGTCACTTAACTTCTCTGGTTTCCTTATCTATAAAACTTAGAGGAACAAACCCTTTAAAGGTTTGAGTGAGATACCATGTAGAAAGTAGACCTGTGATGTCAACTATGTTGGTATAGTGTGACTTAACATCCAAACCTGTAGAGAATTTTTTTTATGAGTTTATTTGAGCCAAACTGATGACAGCTGTCATGAAGCAAACTCTCAAAGAACTGAGAAAAATGCTCTGGAGAATGGCAGTTTTGCAGCTTATTTTATACACTAGCATCAAAGGAGAAGATATAAGAAGGGTTACATGAAATCCATTGGTGGTAAATGAAGGGGGCAGGAGAAAGCAAAGCAAAGAAATCTCTGGGACTGGATAAAAAAGTAAACCAGAGAGACACATACTTGTTTTACATTGGTAGGTACAGTATTAGTTAATAATTAACATTTACAGCACATAGTGATGGTATGTGAGGGAACAAGAGAATAATGTGGGGCCCTGTGGTCTACTTTGGTGCAGTATGTTGTACAGGAGCACAACAGATGGGGGAAAGAATGCTGCTCTCAGCAGCACCATGTGACTGGAGTGAACCATCAGTATCCATAGCCCCAGTCCTTTTGGGAGTAAAACAGGGGCCACCTTGAATGTCAGCATACAAGAGGTTGTGGCACAGGGCCAGTCACCCAGGGGTGCCTACAGGGAATAGACCACCTCCACCTCCTGAAAATCACCTCCAGGAATGGCAGATAAGCAGCATCCCTTCCTTGACTTTCCTGGGGGCCTCATGGCCAGCTCCTGGGCTGGGTCACAGGACACTTGGCCTGAAATAGCCCAGTGAGTCTGCTGCAGTTACACTCCCATTTGCCAGGTTGCTAGGGAATAAGTAAGAGATCATGTGGCCAATTACAGATGACCAATGGCTGCCTCAGATCTAGGTGAGAGAACTGAGTAACAGATGGTCTTCTGTGTCATTAGAGAAATTTGAAATTAGGCAGGTGGCTCCGGGTTTCAAGTCATGTATGGGAATTTTTTTTTTTTTACAAATACAGGCTAAGTTTACGAAGAATAATAAACAAATTCTTACTTTATTGTGCCCTCCATTTTTGAAGCTGCCTCATGGAATTGCTGTGAAGATAGTTTATACATCTCAGCATTCTACAAAGAGAAAAACACAACTGGTTACCAAAGACTACAATTTCCCTCTGGCCCCTTCAAGTAAATTGACAGATGTTAATTTCTTGATCATCATCAAAGCAGACTGGTAGTTGATCCACAGCTTGTGTCTAGCTCCCACTCTGGACCAACCATAGTTACAGAATTCCATAGGAGCAAAGGATAGAAGGACATGGATCCTCTAGTGCACAGGTGGCAAACAAAAGGCCCACAGACCAAATCCGGCCCTCCATCTTGTTTTATCCTGTCCAGCACCTTGTTTCTACCCAGTGGCAGTGCCGAGCTCCTCGCCCCTAGTTAAGGAATAGTTACATTTATACAGCCCTAAAATTACATTTGGCCCTTTGAAGGCAACTGTGAGGCTGATGTGGCTCCCAGTGAAAATGAGTTTGATGCCACTGCTCTAATGCATGGGTCAGCAACCCACCACCCACCTGCCACCCCACCTGCCACCTGTTTTGGTCAATTAAGTTATATTGGAAAATGGTCATACTCAGGATTTGTTTACACATTATTTATAGTTGCTTCTGTGCTGCAATGGCCGAGTTTAGTGGTTGCAATGAGACTGTAGGGCCCGTAGAGCCCAAATTATTTACCATCTTTAAAGAAAAAGTTTGCTGAGTCTGAATCTAGTTCAAGCCTTATTTTATAAGTAGAGTCTGTTGCCCAGAGAGTTGAAGCAACTAACCCAAAGTCACACAGCAAGTGGCTGTGTCATGGCTGCAGCCCAGATGTCTGATCCTGAGTCAGGCATGAATTCTGCTGCCTGCCAAGACCAAGGTGCTTCTTGGCATGGTGAATGTCCAGCCAGAGCCTTGCAGGGTGGTTCCAAAGGCACACACATCCTTCCTGAGGTTGCCTAGTGAGTGAACATGTAAAGAAACAGGCCGGTGTGGGTACAGCCATGTTTGCAACAAGGTAGAGTTGGATTGAACTCTAGGGGCCACCAAAGTGTGACTCTGGGCCACTTCACCTCTTTGTGCCTCAGAAGCAAATTGCTCCAGGCCACACGCCCAGAATCCAGCACTCTCCACTTATTTCCCCAAGGAGTCCAAAAGAAATGTACCAGCTATCTCCACCTGCCACCATTGCTTTTTGCAGAGAACTATGAGGCTTGTGACTAGTAGACTGGCTTGCAGAAAACAGTCTTAAGGATGAAATCACCTAGAGGACTGCCCAGGACAGGGTTGGCAGTCAGACCTCCCCAAAGAGGATGGCAAGATAGCAGTCAGATAGCTTGACTTGAGGGGAATGAACCTCTCCTTAGATGGGACAAAGAAGGTGGCAAGTGCCCAGATCAGAGCCAGGCAGGGAAAGCACCCTGCTCCATCACCCATCTTCAGGGAAAGTAACCAAGGTGGGGAAGGAAGCATCTTTCCTAGGACCAACAGGACACCAAAGGTGGAGTATGGACACAAACAGACCCTTATCCCCATGCCTGTACCACAATCTCAGGGAAGAGCCAAGTGGGAGATAAACATGGAAGGCTGTTCCCAAGGGAGCACACCTGGGGCAGGAACCACAGTGTACAAACTCTGCTCTGGGTAGTGCTGGAGTGAGGCCAATGCCACACCTTCTAGTCCCTTCCACTCACTCCCTGCTACTGAGTGAGCTTGGGCAGGTCACACTGCCTCTTCCTGGCTTATGTCCTCATCTCTGAACTGGGAGATAGCTGATGCCTTCCCTCAGATGACCATCAGGCACATAGCTGGATGAGAAAGCTGCCACCATATGACAGGTACAAAATAAAGTGGGATTCTCCTTCCCTCACAGCCAGGCTGCCCTGGTTCCCACAGGGCACTCTGTGCTCACTCTGAGTTGACCAGCATATTTCTCTCTGGAGCTGGATGTTCTAGCCGAGAGATGCTGATTTTTCCTCAATCAACCTGACATTCATCTGACACTGACAGTTCCAGGCAAGGGAGTAAGGACAGAGATGAGTGAAATCAGGGCCTCCTCTCCACTCTGAGCAGAGGCTCTTATGTGACACCCTGATGGGGACTGCTGAGACTCAGTTTGTACCTCCAGTTCATGGATCTTCACAAAAGACTGCACAGTCCAGAGACCCACACTTTAGGCACATGATGTTTGTGTTCTTTGGGTCATGTACTTCCTTGAGCCTTGTTTCCTAGCAATAAGACAGGATACTCCCTTCCTCACAGGGTGGCTGAGAGACCATGCCTAGTAGTGCCTGGCTCAGGATGCCTTCCGTATTCCCAGTAACCACTATCATTGTACCATGGAACTTTCTAAAGCTAACATGTACCTTACCTAAGCACCCCTCAACTGATCCCAGTCTGTTTCCTTTCCCACAAGACAGCCTCACAACTCAAGCCTTCTCCTCTTTGGAAAAGTGCCAGGCTCCATTTTCTGAGCCCCACCACTCGTCAATGTCCCTTTCCAAGGGAGTATCCATGTCCCAGATGGGCCCAGCATGCTGTGGGCTAACGGAAAGCTCAGTGCCTTTGCTCTGACCTTGTATTTCCAGGCACACAGCCTGGAAAGGGTGAACATGGTAAGCGGTTAAGTTGACCACAAGCTCAGACTGAACATGTGGTCAGCAAGATTTGTCACAGGATGTGCCCACAGGCCAAAAAAGTGGTTGTGATTACCCCACTGCAGCTTCCTCTATTGTTTTGCAGAATGACTCAGAAGAAGTCCCCTTCCTTCCCTGACCCACTCACTCTGTCATCTAATCTGCCTGAGCAGACCTGGGACTGATGGGCCACTGTGGAATACCCCATTGTTGCTCCCCTGGTACATGAAAGTCCTGGTCAAGCCCTGGGAGTGCTGAGCTGGCTTCCTGTGTTCACAAAAGCTTCCTGCACCTTCCTGAGGCTTCTGAAGAGCACCCAGAACCTTCTTCTGGAAATAGCAGGGCACTCTGCAGACTTCTAAACCACACAACTATCATGGGCTTGTAAAGGACTGGGGCCACTGACATTCATACTGGGAACCAGTGAGTATTGAGACAAATGAGCCTGCTCCCAGGTCTCATGGGGCTCACAGTCAATGCAACATCACAATTACAATGGACATTTGGCCAGTCATCCCAGGTGATGTGAAGGCACCAGAAAGGACAGCCTGGGACAGACCATTAGCCTGGCTTTTTAGGCGCTAACAGAGGCATAAATCTTTCTCCTCCTCCTCCTTCTTCTTTTACATTAGACAGTGTTTGAAAAAACAACACAACACACAATTTAGAAAGGCAAAAAAGAGCCCTGGCTGGTATGGCTCAGTAGGTGAGTGCTGGCGGGTGAGTCAAAGGGTCGCCAGTTCAATTCCCAGTCTAGGGCATGTGCCTGGGTTGCGGGCCAGGTCCCCAGTGTAGGGTGTGCAGGAGGCAACCACACATTGTTGTTTCTTTCCCTTCCCCTCTCTAAAAAAATAAATGAATACAATCTTTAAAAAAAAAAAAAAAAAAAAAGAAAGGGCAAAGTGTAGGTATTTGGTGACCAGTAAGCTTTTCAACAGCTTGGACCTCAGTACTTTCACCTCCTTTGCATGTGCATGCCTGAGTGGGCTCATGTATGCACACCCTCTTCTGGTTATCTCCTTATCTCTTCACTTACTTCTTGGTGGCCTCATACATTTACTTGCTGAGTAAAATCCCATTGTAGGGCTTGGTGTCCCAAAGCTCACATTAGCAGTTCACCACCATGCACGTTAGGCTGTTTCCCATCTTTGGCTATTATGTGCTGAAACATAGTATCATGACATCTATACCTTTGTGCTCTAGTAAGTATGTCTGAAGGTACATTATAGAGTCAGATTCATGGATCAAAGTGTACATCCACTGTTAAACTGTCTTACAGAAATGAGCCAATAATGAGGGAGTCATGTAAAAGCAAGAGGGAGCAAGAGGGGTAACCTTTGGTAGATGCTATAGTCCCATCAAATGCTACAGCAAAGGAAGGAGCTGGGAAGAAAGTCACCTTGGGACCCAGTGAGGCAAGGGGGTAAGTTGGGGTCTCAAATGAAGGCTGAAAGCCTGGACCTCAGCCCACAGTCAATGAGTGGGGAACAAAGGTTTTCTTTTTTAAGCAAGGGAGTGGCAGGGTTGATTTGTATTTCAGAAAGAATATTCTGGCAGCAGTGTGGATAGTGGAGTGCAGTACCAGGGGGGCACCTGGGTCCCCACAGCACGATCCCACAGCATCTGTGCCTGACAAGGAGACCTATTACCCATTCATAAGTCACTGGGAGATCGTTCTGAAATCACTGTACTAAATCTGCACACATTAATTAACAGCCACTGATAGTGAACTGTTATTTCTGGAGAATTTTTCTTTCCCAGCAGACTCTTCTGATTCCTCATTTTTGAGTCTTTTTCTCTGCCCTATAAATGGCACCCCTCCTCCTTTCTCCTCCTCCTCCAGCTGCTCTGTATGCACATTTGAAACCAGAACACCTGATTTCCATTAATTAAATCTGCCATTAAAAATTAAATAGTGTGAGCAAGAAGGTGTGTTATCTCTATGGGTTTCAAAAGTTGCAGTGTTTCTTCAATTACTTCCCAAGCAGTTTTCATATTTCATACTGTCTGATTTCTCCAAGGGTTTGAATTTGCAAGATCAAAAGAGAGTGCAAGGGTGAGGGGAAGCATGGTGAGAAGGCTCAGAAGGGGGCGGGGGACAGGGAAACAGTTGTGGCAGGCCAAGGAAATGGTTCTGCTGCACCCAATGAGGATCTGAAATACAGGAGGGGCAAGGCCTGCTTAACCCACTAGACCATTCCTCGAGCAGGTGTGAGCGATTGAGGACAGGAAGACAACCAAGCTCATTCTGACTGCCTGCAAAGAAATGACTTGGGAACTTGGGAACCTCGACAGACACATACCTACACTGGGTGTCATGGGACATGAAGATTTTATGAGGCATTTCAGTCCAACAGAAAGACAGAATTAAGGTCTAACAAGCATATCAGGATCAAGGGAGAGGCCACCTGGAGCAGTGAGAATGGCTATGAGGCCTGGAGTCAGA